ATCAATCAATCAATCAACAATTTATTAAAGCACTTTTTAAGTGCCAGTGTTATGGGCTAGGCCTGTCTCAGGCCAGGCCAGTCCATTCACGGTTTAACAAGGTCTTAACAAAAAGAGATTTACTTAGTTATGGCAGAAGAAAGACAGTCACTAAAGATGGACATTGAGGATTCCTTAGGTTGATTCAGCTGAATGAAGCTCCATGCCTGTCATGATCCAGTAGCCAGCCATCAGAGCATAGGCCTGGAGTAGCTTGGGGCTGTTGTTTTGTTCTCAGGCAATTTGGAAGTGATGTCACCAGTCTGAGCCTTCAGGCCTTTGAGCCAACCAAACCTTAAGGCTGGTCTCAATACCTTAAGGGAAAAACTGGCCTAACTTGCATAGAGGAAAGAGTTAGGATATTGCTCCTACCACAGTCAGGCACTATGTTGGATGCCAGGGATACAAACATAAAGAATCTAATAAATTTTACTCTCAAGGAACTTACAGTATAACAAGGGAGGCAATAGGTATAGTACTTACATTTTGAATAATATAAAGAGAATAATTAGACACAGGCAAAATAGTTAAATAAAAGGTTGTTTGAGAGGGAGAGCACTAGCAGTTGGGGGATTAGGAAAAGTTCCATATAGAAGATGGTGCTTCAGTTGTGTCTTGAAAGAAGAGAGATTCTCTAACTGAAAAGAGAAGAGTGCATGCCAGGCATGAGGAACAGCCAGTGCAAAGGTGAGCAGATGGACAACAAAGTGTCCTTTCCTTCTTGACTTGAAGTCTCAAAGAATATATAGTATATAATATATAGTATCAAAGAGTATAGTCTTTACCAATGCCAATTCCTTGATTCCATCCCCTACTCTTCATTCCCTTTGATCAACTCTCCTCTCTCCCTAATTTTCAAGTTCCCTTCTGCCTACAAACATGCTGAAATCTCTGCCACATCTAAACACATACTCTGTCTCTCTCTTTCTTCACCTGATCCACTATGGTAATATAATTCTCCTTGCTTTGGAAGCCTAATTCCTAGAAAAAGCTGTATACATTTCTGCTTCCAAATCTCCAAACAGGTGCTTGGTAAAAGCTTGATTAGCTATTGATTGGAAAATACTCCATCCTTTACTACTCTGCACAAAGCTAGCATTGCTCAACCATGGAGGTGCCATAGCCCTGTAAAAAACAGTGTCAAGAATGCTAAAATTCAGAATGTGCTGAAGTTGTCCAGGAAAATTAAGGATAACAAATAGTGTTGTTGAGGGGGGGGGAAGGATTTAAAAAATGGATAGGATTGTTCCTCTTAGTGGGGAAGAAAAGGACAACAGGGAATAGAAAAAACTGCTCAATTATTATTTCAGTTCCATTTTCTTTGCAAAAGATAAACTTTGGATTGGAAAGGATAAATTTAGAATAACTAATAGATATATGATATTCAAGATAATTAAAAATTTGATAAAACTGCACCTAGTAACCCTTAATGAGTTCAAGTCCCATGGCCCAAATGAACTAAATCATCAGGTATTAAAGAATCTACACACGTAATTGCTGGGTCACTCAGTGGTATCCTGGAAAACAGGAAAGAAACTGAAAAACAAAAGAAGGCCAAAGGTCTCAATTTTTACAAAAATGGAATACAATCACATCCTAAGATAGGACAATTTCAGATTACAAGAATTTGAATTTATAAGGAGTTTCACTTAACTATCCGTCTTCCGGCTTGAAAAGCATTTCTTTGCATTTATGAGGATGGATCTTGTGTGTAGCTGAATACCACAAAATAAAAGCCACCTTTCTGTGGGTGACCCATGTTATGTCAAGTTCTGTTGTCAGAATACTCATAGCTTGCTATTGCATAGTAGTGATAATCTGTGGCTTCATTCCTCTTATAAAGATGTGCTAAAATTATTCTTCGTATGTTTTCTCACTTTGTTTTCTTACTTTTACAAAGAATGGTAATTTGTTTGATGTGATATCATCTGTATTGTTTTCATTATTTGTCTCTATTGTTCTGTTTGTTCTTGGTTTGTTGTTTTTTTTTTAAATTAAAAATTAAATTATATAAACACAGTATAAATGAATATTAATTTTAGGGTGAAACATTTGTCTCAATGAAATGAATGGTAATTATTTTTCTGTTTATGAGAAATTTCCTTGAAAAATATTATTTTTTATTTTTAGGCAATTGTGGTTAAGTGACTTGCCCACGGTCACACAGTTATTAGTAAGTGTCAAGTGTTTGGTCTAAGGTCACATTGGAACTCAGGTCCACCTGACTTCAGTGCTGGTGCTCTATCCACTGTGCCACCCTGCTGCCCCACTGAAAAACATTTTTAAAGTAAGAAGGTAGGAGACTGTGGAATGGAATTTGCTAACTATAGGTCACTGGGTTTGTTTTCAATTCCAGGGAAAAAAATTTAAAGTATTATTAAAATCTTCCCCTGTTCTTAAAAAATCCTTCATTAGACCCTACTGTGCCCTCAAACTATTATATTTTCCTTCCCTTCATGAAATTTCTTGAAAAAGCTGTCTGGATGCACTTCTTCCAATTTGTCTCCTCTCACACTTCAATCCTTTGAAATATGACTTCTCATCTCATCACTCAACTAAAATTGTTCTTTCCAAAGTTACAAGGATCTCTTAATTGCCAAATTGGAAGTTTTATTCCTCAGCCTTAATTCTTCTTAAGCTATCTGATGCATTTGAGGCTATATTTATTAAATTTATATGTGTTTTTATATAACACTTGTTTTTCCTTCATTAAAATGCAAGCTCACTATTCAGTCTTTATATTTGTATTCCCTGAGCCTAGCAGAGTGCCTGGCACATAGCAAGTGCTGGATAAAAGACTTGTTGATCCATTGATAACAGGCTAAAGGTTAGAGATAGAAAGTTTCCATATACACAAATATATTTATAGCAGGGCTTTTTTTTAATAGACAAAATTGAGAATCAAAGTATATGTCTACAATTGAAGAATGGCTAACCACAATATGCTATATGAATGTAAAGGAATGTTACTGTGCCTTAAGAAATGAGAAAAGATTGAAAAAATAGAAGAAAATATAAGATATGTCATTTAGAAAACAAATGACCTATAAAACAAATCAGGGGGAGATAATTTAAGAAATATTGTAATACCTGAAAACTATAACCAAATAAAAAGGTTAGACATAACATTTCAAGAAATTTTAAAAGAAAATTGCCAGGATCTCTTAGAACTGAAGGACAAGTAGAAAGAAAGAATCCACTAGTTACCTTCTGCAAAGAAACTCCCAGGAACAAATATAGACCTTGCAGGTGGAAGAAAAATACTGTTAAGCAGCTAGAAAGAAAGAATTCAATTGAGTTCAAGTACTGAGGAACCACAATTAGGCTCAAAAAAATTAAGCACCCATAACTGCAAAGAAACAAAGATCATGGAATATGTTGGGCCAAAAGCAAGAGATACAGGCTTATAATCAAGAATAATTTATCCAATCTAACTGCATAATCCCACAGGGAAAAACTGGACTTTTGTAGAAACAGAACACTTCCAAGTATTCCTGATTAAAAGATCAGAGACAAAGAGAAACTTTGAAATACAAAAATAGGAGTCAAGAAAAATATAAAAGGGTAATCAGAAGAGACTTTATATAAGCTAATTAGATTCTAATGGGCAGGGAAAGGGGTAAGAGGGACCGAGACAGATACAAGCACTCCAGAATCCAAATGTCATCAATGAGTCAATATAAGACACAGGGCCTAGATGTGATTTTGTTATGTTTTTTATTATTTTAAAAGAAAGTAAAGGTAGGGTTAAAAACAAAAATATCCCAATCCACATGAATATTTGAATAGATTTAGAAAAAGCTTTTGACAAAATGCTTTAGAAAACTCTAAAACCCTACAATGTACAGGCATAGAGAAGCTATTATTTAATATAATAAAAATGATCTAATACTAAAAGCAAGCATCATATGCAATAGGGATGCAGGAGAAGCTTTTTCAATAAATATATGACCAAAACAAGGATGGTCACCCTCTCCATTCTTACTTAGTAGAGTTGTAGAAAGTCTAGCAACAGCAATAAGACAAGGGAGTTAAAGATGAGAAAAAACTATTTCTATTTGCTGAAGATATAAAGTTTTATTTAGAAAATCCTAGAAAAACAGCAAAGATACCAACTGAGACAGTTAATAGCTAAGTAAAGTTCTAAGTTATCAAATAAGCCCACAAAAACCAAAAGCATTTCTACATAATGATAACAAAATTCAAGAGGCAATAATAGAAAGAGAAATCCCATTCAAAATAACTACAAAATTCATTAAATATTGATCTCTTCATATAGTAAAGTACATATAACATTTTTATGGATTCAATTACAAAGTGTTCCTTAAAGAAATAAAGAACTTTAATAGCTGGGGGAATATTCATTGCTCATGGCTGGGTGATACCAATGTATTAAAAATGAAAAGGGCTTACAAAGTTAATTCACAGTTTTAATACTATACCAATCACACCATCAAAGGGATACTTTATAATTTGTTAAAATTGTAACAAAATTTATCAGGATAAGTAAAATGTCTAGAATATCAAGGAAAATAATGAAAAAAGGCTGAGATGAAGAGGGTGTAGCACTTCCAGACTTCAAACCATATTATAAACCAGCAGTCATCAAAACCATTTGGTACTAGTTTAAAAACAGAAAAAGCAGATCAATGAAGCAGAGAAAATAAGTGAAAATCAGGAAAAAAAAAAAGGTACTTAATAACCCAGGATTGGATAAACTAAAAAAAAAAACAAACCAAAACAAAACAAAAAAAAAAAAAAAAAAAAAAACCCAACAACATAAAGTAAGTATAAAAGAATTTCTTATTGGGTTAAAAGTAACTGGGAAAATTGCAAAGCAATCTGGCAGAAATTAGGCTTACATCAACACTTTATGCCATATTTCATAATAAATTCAAAATTGACACCTGATCTCAGTATTAAAGATCATATAAAAATTAGAAAAAAAGCAGATCATATACCTTTCATAGCTATGGGGAAGGCCGATATTATTAACCTAAAAAGAAGACAGAAGTAACAAATAGATAATTTTCATTATATGAAACTTAAAAGATTCTGAACAAACAAAATTAACGTATCTGAGATCAGAAGGGAAACAGTCCAATGGAGGAAAAATCTTTATATCATTTTTCAGACAAAGCTTTGGTATCCAAGATGTACAGACAATATATATGTATGTGTGTGTACGTATATGTCTATATACAATATGTGTGTGTATAAAATTGTATATACAAATAATTACAATTATATATGTATATGTATGAGTGAGTTCTAGTAAAGGCCTTTTACGAGATAAACATGGTCCTTATACTCAGACTAGGGACACATGAAGCAGAAAATAATGAATACTGTTTTCAAAAAGAAAAAAAAAACCCAAATCCTAGCAAATCGACCACCATCCTATAGCAAGCAGGGTCACATAAAGAAAGACTGCTTCAATTCATTTCATGATATCATGGATGCAAGACAACCCAATATAGGAAGGGCTGAGCATCAAGTCCTGAGAAAATGTTGACACCTGTGTACCTATGGCTTGCTTTGGGTGTTGCAGATATAGGAACTGAATAAGCTTGATGGAACCTTTTTTTTTTTCCTTTAACCCATTAGAACGCTAACTCCATGGGAGTGAAAAATTGGTTCCATTCTTTGTATTTAGATCCCAGCCTATGGCACAGTAACAGGAACTCTATTAGTGCTTGTTGATTGTTTTGCCAGGTCTGTGAAGAGTTAATGGCCACCTGTGGGGCAGATGAATGGTTATTTCTGTCTAGAATCTGCTGGTGCTCTGCCTTCTATAGGAAATCTTTCCTGATGCTCTTAGCTGCAGGTGCCCTCCTCAAACTTTTTAAATTTTATATTTATTCTGTATATACTTGTATATGATATTACCCTGGATAGACAGTAAGCTCTTCAGCGCAAGGACTGTTTCATTTCTGACTCTGTATCACCAGTGCTTAACACATACTAGGTCCTTCATGGATGCTTGGGTTCTTGGAATGCTTCTCAGAGTCTAGTCTAGATCATGAATGCAGGTCCTCATCTTTATGAGAACAGGTCCAAAGAATCAGCTATGTGACAAATCACACTCTCCCCACTTACCCTCTTCACTCAATTACAATGTTCAAAGATCCTAAAGGATACATCTAGGAGAGAAGGTAACAGTTCACACCTTTCTTCCCCATCAGTGACTAGCCTAGAACTCCAAGGAAGCAAAGAAAACTAACTGACATATAGGGATTGGATCTTTCTTGGATAAAGGTGAAAGCAGGGAAGCCATCCTTGGTTGTTGACTCCACCACTAATATTCTACAACACAGCCCTTCTGAGCCCTCGGTCATTTGAAATGACCATTTCTCAATAAATTTAATTTGAATATATAAGTTTTGAAGATGGTTTCTCCTTCTCCTCTTAATGTTGATACTGATTGACTACAAAATCACTCATGAGGAAAGGCACTGACAACAAATGTATAAAGTAAAATAATCAGAACTTAAATACTTCCATTTTTAAAAAAATCCTAAAAACTATTCCAATGAAATCACAGGTTCAGTTCTTATCCCTAAGATCTGGGAAAACAGCATTAATTTATGCAGCAATATATTTTTAAAAATATTCACTATGATGTAATTAGAGTTATATTAGGCTTGTAAAAATGGTTCAACATTAGGAAAATTACATAAGCAACCAAAACCACATGACTATATCTATAGATGCAGAAAAAAAGCTTTTAAGAAAATAATACACTAATTTATGTTAAATTCAACAAACATCTATTAAGTGCCTAAAATGTACAAGGTATTATGCTAGGTGCTGAAGATGCAGACAAAATGAAAGCATCACAGAGCTTACATTTTAAGGAAGGGGAGTAATAAAACATCTGCACAAGTCAGTAAATGCCAAGAATATACAAATTAATTTCAAGAGAGTTCTAATAACTGAGGTGATTTGAAAGCCCTAGTGTGCCTTAGTTATGTTTTAAAAAACATGTGGATTGCACACATTCCAGACTGGAGGAAGGATGGGGGGGCACTTCTGCAAAGGCACAGAGGTTGGAGATAAGACTGCTATGTGAGGGAAACAGGAGCAGAACAGCTTGCCTAGAACAAGAAAATGTATGAAGGGAAGCTACTATAAAACAAAACTGGAGAGGAAGGAAGGAAAGGAAACACATATTTGTTAAATGCCTGTTATGAGTCAGGCACAGTGCATTAGTTTCTCCTTCTGTGTCTTTCTTAACCTCTCTGCAGTCTGACACTCTCAATTACCCCTAAGCCTTGGTACTCTTTTCTCTCTAGTTTTTTGATACAGGGCTCTCTTAGTTTTCCTCCCAGCCTTTTGGCCAGTCCTCCATTTCCTTTGCTAGATCTTCATTCATGTCAGACTTGATAACTGCTAAGTGTTCCCCAGGTCTCTGTTCTGGGCCCTCTTCTCTTCCCCTTTATATGATTTTACTTGGCGATCTCATCAGCTCCCATGGTTTCAATGATTATCTCTACCTAGATGATTCTCAGATCTTCTTGTCCAGCACTAATTTCTCTCCTGAATCCAGACTTGCATCTTCAACTTCCTATTAGACATCTCAAATTAAGTGTCCCATAGGCACCATAAATTCAACATGTCCAAAACTGAACTCACTTCCCCCCCCCCCAAAAAAAACCTCCCCCTCTTTCTTACTTCCCTCTCACTACTGAGAATACCACATCCTCCCCGGCACCAAGGCTCTTAAGAGAGCATCACCCTCTACTGCTCAGTCTCCCTTACCCCCGACTCCTGCCGCTCCACACCAAACAGCTATCAGGTCCTGTCATTTCTACCTTCATGTGCCCCCTTCTCTCCTATGACACTGCGCCCATCCAAGTATTAGCTCTCATCACATGACTCCTGGACCACTTCAACAGTGTTTTGGTTGGTCTCCTTGCCTCCAGTCTCTGGGACAGGCTAGTGGCCCAAGGGGAGCCCTGATCTGATACTTTATCATACTGTAATGGTCCAACAACATAACAACCCAAACTCAATTTATAAATATCGAGGTTGAGGCTCTCACAAAGTTACAAAAATTCTGAAAAGTCAAAAAAATGATAATTATTCAAGTCGGGCCTCAAACCTACTCCTTTGGATTCCTTTAGTGGCTTTTCCACTGTATCACTCCCATGTGTTGTGTTCATGGATGCATAATTAATTCAGTCCAGTGCTAACGAGCTTTAATTCTACCTTTTAGAGGACTGAGTTCTAGTCCCAGCTATACTACTGATTCCCTCAGTAACTGACTCTAATCCGTCCTCCACTCAGCTGTCAGAGTGATTTCTTAAAGCTCAGATCTGACCATATCATCCCCTGTTCAATAAACCCCAGTGGTTCCCTATTACCTCCAGGATCAAATAAAAAAAATCCACTTTTAAAACCTTTTATAACTTAACTTCTTCCTACCTTTTGAGTCTTCTTACAACTTATTCCCTGCCAAGGGCTCTGCTATTCAATGACACTGGCCTGCTGGCAGCTCCTCCATCCTCTTCCTCCAAGTGTTAGGCTGACCTCTAAAAAGGAAATCAACTAGTATTGATTACTTTGATTTATTTTTATTTTGATTCTTTAGGAAAAAATATTAGAAAAATACCTTTTAAGCCAAACAGGCATTTCTCTTTTAAAAAATTACTTTTATGTGACTTAGCAGAGAACCTACATGTATAATTCTCTATTAGGGACTTGTTCTAAATAAATTTAAATTTAAAAAAAAAAGAGAACAGTAAGGAAAATTTTGCTAAATTGTGTCTGTCTTAAAACACACACACACACACACACACACACACTACACTTTAAATAGGTGAACCCAACTGGCAAATTCGCCTAAAGCAATTTTATATTGCTTCTAAATTACATTTTCTTATTGATAAGATTACAAAAACACGAACACAAACAGTAAACAGAAGAATTAATCTTGGGCTGACAGCAGGACTCCAGCACAGAATTGTCGTAAGTTGTATACTTAACAGAGTAGACAGGTAAGATCATGACTTCAAAATCTCCTAGAGAAAATTTAGGATAAGTTCAGGCCTGATTTAATAATGTGCCAAGTCTCATTATATGTTCTATGTGTGTCCGTTTTGTGAATGATAAAACTAAGTTTAGGAATGGTGGGTTCCTTGCTTCATTTAAAAAGGGATCTTACACTATTGGGAAAATGTTTAAGAGAATGGGAAATCTGTGTTATCTCATCTGTGCTTTGTGCTAATCCATGCTGGAGGTGCTTCCAAGCATTTGATTTGTTCTATGTTTTTTTCCTGTGGTCTAATAAACGAAGGGGAAAAGACTGTGAAAAAAAAAATAGTAAAACTTCAAAAAGTGTTCAAAAAAGACAAGTCTGTCTTTTCTCTATTTCTAATACTGGCCACACTGAAGGTTGCAGAGGTGAAAGACAGACAAAAATAAATATATAGAGACTAAATTTGTTATTCTCTACTGGAAAATTCCAAAATTATAATTTGAAAAATTTTATGAAGTATTTTGATGAGCTTTTAAGATACCAGCAAACTTTGTAAAATCCAATGAAAACAAAAATTGACAGCTCAATTATTCCGTAAAGGGTACTTTTTTTTTTTTTTTCATAAAGGATACTTTACAATGACTAGATTGATTTTAAAGCTGCAATTTGAATTTTAAGAACTGTTTTATTAATCATGGAATCTGTTCAGGAGAGAGTCAGTGAAATAGAGATTCAGTAAAATTTAGAGAAGTGCTAAAATAAGAAAAACTTAGGAAATTGGTCCAGGAGAAATTAGAATAAAACTCCTGTGAGTTTAAATAATTCCACAATGAAAGAAAGAAAGAATGAAAGAAAGAAAGGAGACGTTTGCTAAATTCTAAGCAGTTTTAGTTGGCTAGTCTGCAAGTCTGACATTTTGGGTATCATTTTGTGAAACTGGCTTTAACTTTAGTGTTGATTAAAGGTATATTAAAAACTGTACTTAATGTTGGGACAGATTTGTTGAAGAGAAGTACATAATTCCAAAAGAATAAAAGTAAGTAGAGTTGGAATTTATTTACTCTTCTGTTGTTTACTGCTTTTAAACTACTTGAAGACACCAAGCAAGCCCTGATTGGGAGTCCCTGATTGAAGGGGAATCCGAAAGTGGAAAAAGCTTATTTTGAAATCAAGAAGCAACTGAAAGTAAGTGAAATTTAATGATACTACTGTAGTTTAAAAATAAACTGTTTAGGTAAATTACAAGCACAGTCATACTTATGCTGAAATCAGTGGAATTGAAAATAAGTTCAATATTGTATTTGGTAGAACTATAAAAAGCAAACCTAAAATAAGTTAAGGTAAGAATTATTGAAGATAGAATTAAACAAGAATATAGCATTATAGAAAATTAAGTGCATGCACAATTAATACAGGGTGCTCAGACAACAAAAGATCAAATTTAAATGATTATATGGCTTATAAATATTAGAAGAAACAGGAAATTTGAGAACAAAATCTGCAAATTATTTCAAGACGTTTCTTGTCTTACTGTCAAATATAAATTAAAACATAAGCACGTAGATAATATTGGGCCCTAAAATTTGAAATCCTGGCAGTTAATGACCTTTGTGAAAGTTGAAATTTTAAAATTCTTACCTGTACTAATTATACAGTTATATTTCATTTAGGTGAATTCAAAGGTAAATTAGTGTGATGAGGATTTATGTTAACTGAAAATCACTGGAAAACTAAATAAGCTGATAACATACAGTACTGGAAAATATCAAAACTTTGTGAAAGGAAGAGACAATTAGGAGTGATGATCATTCACAGTCTACAGCATCAAAATGGAAGCTGCTTTTACACAATGCTATTAAACTATATATTAAGAAAGAAGGCAGTTTACATGTGGAGGAAACTGTTTAATATTTCATTTAGAGTGCATAATAAGATAGGTAGTTAAAAAAAAGTAACTTTCTATTGTGAGAGGAATAGCAGAGATCCTTTAAGATACCAATATTTGTGACATTCCTGTGCCATCGTTGGGCCTTGGTCATAAAACAGGTGGATGAATACTTCCCAGCATAAAGAAGGTTAACTCTGAAAAGGAAATAGATGACTTTTTTTCCAAGGTCATCAACGAGGAAGTAGAAGGAACCTTAAACTTTGCAGTTGTGCTCAGTAAGCCGAGTCTTTTGACTGTCACTTATAAAAACTACAGTCCTTAAAGAAATTGAAATGAACTGTAAATTTGTAAGCCACAAGGAACCAAAAAAGGTGATAGTATTGCAATTAATTGGTTGTGTGTAATAAAAATCTGTGCTAAAGTATAAGGACAAAGATTAAGTCTGTAGGCAATCTTGGATATGATTGGGAAGTAGACTAGAGGAATTAAGCAAGTAGAAAAAAGAAAGATGAGTGTTGGATAAGGTGACAAGAAAGGTCCAGCTTTGAAGTATTTTATAAAATGAAAAGAAAAGATGATAGTTTAAGCGAGTAGGGATGGGAGAAGAATGGTTAGAAATGTTAAGGAAAGCTGGAGCCTGCATTGACACAGTGTGAATATAGACCTTGAAAGAAAAGGGAAAAAAGAAATTTGAGGAATGATTTTGATCTCACTAAAAAAAAAAAAAAAAGAGAGAGAGAGATTTGGGTAATTTTTTTAGAAATGCCTTAAGATGCACTGGTAGGGTTCAGTAAAAGGAATTGATTTGGCTCTTTGGGTAATTCAAAGTAATAAAGAAGCAATTCTGGGGGCTGTGGGCATCACCATGACTTTTTTAATGAGCCAACTAAAAATAATGGAACCTTGTGAAAAATGAAGTTTAGTTATTACCACTAGTAATTTTAAATTAAAAATTGATTGGCTTGAACATTTTGCAATTGTAGTATATTAGAAAATTTGATCCGTTTTCATATGTACAAAGAGGATGATAATAATAATAACAATAACAACACCACCTACCTCCCAGGGTTGTTGGAGGAATTGATTTTAAAGTACTTAGTATAATGAGTGATGTATAAATGTTGACTATTGTTAATGAGTTTTGGATTAAATGATATATCAAAGAAAACAACAGAGATGATTTTCTAAGAAGAATAAGTTAAAATTTCATGTAGCTGAATATTCTTTTTCCTTATCTTTTAAAATTTATTAACTGATCAATTTTTAGTTTTCAACATTCACTTTTATAAGATCTTGAGTTCTAAATTTTTTCCTCCTCCCCAAGATGGCATGCAATCTGATATGGGCTATACATGTACAATCATATTATACATATTTCCACATCAGTCATGTTATAAAAAAAGAATCAGAACAAGAGGGAAAAACCACAAGAAAAAAAAAAAAGAAAATAATATGCTTCCAGCTGCATTCAGATTCTATAGTTCTTCCTTTGGATGTGGATAGCATTTTCCAGCATGAGTTTTTGGGAATTGTCTTAGATCATTGTATTGCTAAGAGCTCAGTTTATCAAAGTTGGTCATCGAACAACGTTGCTGTTACTATGTACAATGCTCTCCTGGTTCCGCTCACTTTACTCAGCATCTATTCATATAAGTCATTTCAGGTTTCTGAATAGATATTCTTCAGGGTTTCAGTTTTCTTGTATTGTGGAATTTGGAAGAATATCAGACATAGGATTAGAAATTCTCTTTTAATTAGGAAAATATGCTTTTTAAAACACTGTTATGTGAAATTTTTCTAAGACATTACAAAATTATGTTAGCCTATTTCCCTATTGAGTTATTGAAGTCAATGTGATAAGTCTTTAAAAGAAAAACTGTAGTAGTGAAGTGCCTTTTGCCTTTAATTCTTGTGATTTAATAAGAAGTTTGAAGACCCCTTAACCAGAGTTGTGATTTGAATGTGTAACTGTGCTTGGGTAAAGTGGACTAAATTGATGTCATTTGGCTAAAGTAAGTTTAATATCTTATACAGCTAAAATATAGGAAGATTATTCAAAAACTATTAAATATTCAGTGGGTTATATTTTCCACTAACCTAGCCTCCTGAAGGGTAAGATTTCAGTCTTACTATTTATAACTGCCCTATAATGTAAGTTAGTAAGCAGTTCAAGCAATAACTGAGAAATCAAAATCTAAACATTCTAAAGTACTTCAAAAAGCAGGCCTCTGAAATTCTTTAAAGTAAACTTTAGGAACTAGAAAACAAAAACAAAAACAAAAAACCCTGGCATGTGGTAAACACTATCTAAACAAACTATTGAATGGGAAAAGGACCCACGTACAAAAATATTTATAGCAGCTCTATAACGTGATGGCAAAGAACTGGAAATTGAGAGGATGCCCATCAACTGGGGAATGTCTGAACAAGTTGTGGTATATGAATGTAATGGAATACTATTGTACTATAAGAAATGATGAGCAAGTAGACTTCAGAAAAACTTGGAAAGACTTGTATGGACTGATGCTGAGTGAAGTGAGAAGAACCAGAACACTGTACACAGTTAACAGCCACATTGTGTGATGACTAATTTTGATAGACTTAACTCTTCTCAGCTATGCAAGGATCTAAAACATCTCCAAAAGTCTCATGATGGAAAATGCTAT